TCTACTGGCATCTTTTACCTACGGGTATGCTTCTGTTTTTCATGCGAGTGTGTATTGCCTAATAGTTTCTCTTTCTCATACGTTCATGTCACTCCCTGCTGGCATGCCTATAAGTACTAGTTTTAGCACATCTTAATTAAGGTACTGTATTAGATTTAATAAATTTCATTCATCAAAAATGTTTGATAATTTTAACTAAGAAAACTTTGGAGTACATTTGCAATTGTCAACTTGTTCTGTCAATAACCTTCAATCAATTTTGAATGTTTCCTTTCTTGGAGCAAAGCCAGAGAACTGTCAACCCTTCATAAAATCACACTTGTAAATGTGTTCCTCAGATACCTATTTAAGTACATACAAGAGTCAAACAATCACAGAGTCATATAAAATATTTAATGGTGATAAAATACTCTTGGCCAATAATTGGCAATCCCATTATAAGCCAGCACAAAAATGTTGACAGTTATGTGCTAATTAAGGAGTGGTACTTTACATCATTACACCGGTAATTTGAACAAATTATGGTGGGGTCGAGAAACTTCTTGTGGCAGCATTGGCCATCAAAGAGCCTTGAGACTCCTAGCTAAGACTTCTTCTGGGCCCTATTCGGAGGCAGGGTCTGGTTAGAGCCCAGTCGGATTTGGGGCAAAGTCCCATTCTCTATGGTATATTTATGTTTTAAGGGTATTTTTTTTTTACTCTTTTTTTAAGGGCCCCAGACTAAGCCAATGTAGGGTTAAAAATGATGAATATCCCAGGGCCCCTACGGTCTAAGGCCCCTAAGGTATAGGACTCTTACGGTCTGGGGTCCCTGGCTTTAGCCGTGAGAGATCATAGTTACTTATGCCACTGTGTGGAAGCATGCGACAAATGCGTGCCTTTCTGGGCAACCCCTTATAATGCAATGCATTTTCTTTATCAGTTAGTAAAATATTCTGTATCTTTTCCATGTAATCAACTTCCTCCCAGATTTTTAAAATTTGGTACAAAAGTCAAACCACAAACATTCCAAAACGTGGTTTATGTTGGGTAAGGTATTGTATATAGAGCCACCTGTTGGGTGCAAAAAAAAACCCTGACTTTTTTAATCCTAATTCCAGCATAATTATCTGAATATAATCTTCTTATAAAAGAAGCCGCATTATAATTTGACAGTTTTCTATTCTTCTCCATAATGAACACCAGTAACTACACCTGTTCGCAACCACCCACTATTGTATTAAATTACATTTATGATATAGCTGTTGCCAACATCTTTTATAAATTGAGGAACATTAATTCAACCAATAAAAACCATCCTTAAAAGCAGGAGCACGGTTAATGAATTAATTTGTGAAGGTGGACCAAGTATAAATAGCTACAGGCTCACAACATGAAAATACACCAAATTTAATGTTCTGAGGAACAGGTTACTTGATTAATTTACAAAAATTGTGGCACAATTAAACTGAGCTGCCAAATTGCATACTGTAGTATCCTGGGAATAGGCACAGCCTTCCGCACTCTCGTGAGAAGTCAAAAGCCTCGCAAATTAAGAATGTTTTCATGTATATTATTGTCTTCCTGAAATCACCTTGTCATGGGTAACAAGGAATGCAGCAAAATACAATGTGTTAAACAAGATCATTAAACCTGCTTCCCTTTAAATGGATTCTATCCAACTGCAATTTGACAGGGTAACATAGCAGAGCTAGTACATAGTCACTACAAGTATAATAATTATAATAAGAGTATAATAAAAAAAAAAATCATTACTTTATCACCCTTGAGCGTATTTCTTCTATGGTACTAAAAAGAAATATTTTTGGGGAAAAAAAATGTTTTTTATGATTATTTTTTTTCATAATTAAATAGTTAGTAGATAGTGATTGTATTATCTTAATCATGTTGTACTTTTGAATATCAATGAACAAGTAAACAACCCAAGGGTTATATTTGGCTTCAGCAAAAAGCCTCCCTCCCTCATCACTTTTTCAGCCTAGATAGGGGTGACTAATAATATTGTTTATAGGGCCTAATAATAATCAGTCATGGGTGGATTCTGGGATTTAGAATGGAAAGGGCCCAGGAATGGATCTTTACAGTTGGAGGGTCCAGACACCCTCAGCCCCACCATTGAGGCAGTCGCTGCTGCCTGGAGGCCAGGACAGACAGGGCAAGTTTGAATAAAAGAAAAGATAGCTTTTAATTTTCATGTTTCTATATGTTATTGTTCATGACCTAGTGAAATCAAGCACTCTATAATAAATTAAATCAGTCCGCTAATTTGTTAAAAGCTTTTGGCCTTGGACCCCACTAGGGGAAGCTCCCAGACCGCCAGCAAAGCTGCCTCGTGGCCCACAGCTGCTCTCGGCGGCCCTGGACGAAATGGTGTATCTAGGGGTATTACAATACTGGGAGGCCTGATGCTGTCTCTTATACACATCTAGATGTGTATAGTTGTTTGCCCATATATCTGTCTCTTATACACATCTAGATGTGTATAAGAGACAGGTATTATGATGTGTCAATATGGTATCTTAAGTTCATCAAAGTGCAATGAAAATATAGTTAGTAAAGTAATGATATCCTAAAGGGAGAGCGGAGAGTACATTGGAGACACAGGGAGTTCAGCATATGCTTGTCGACAAACAGGGCCTATAGGAGGCCTTGGAGGATAATATAATCACAGCATTGCCAGGTTCAAGTTAAGTCAATTGCATTCTGCATAAATAACCTTTGTACTACATTAAAGCCTACAAACCCAAAAAAACAAAATATCGGACCACTTATTCTGTAAACATGTTTGACTTTTGAGCTAGTGCCTCCTCCACAAAAGTTTGCAACTGTAGTAAAGCTATCTCCTAGCAATTGCAACTTTATCTCAGGATTTGGAGACGTACATTTGAAGAGTCTGCTTAAATTGTACCACGTTTCTGGTCAGTCTGTTCACGAGCTCAGCAGTGCGAGCAGTATTTGCATGCGCTCACAAAGATTTAGCAGTCACTTTTTCTGCTCGGGAAAGACAACCTGGTTATTCTTCCTGGTCAAAGTTCACTCCCTGATCAGGTGTATCGTTAGTTTGACCAAAATTCAAACATACTGTACGTATCTACTGCCATATATACATATTGAAAGTTTGTTCCAGTCTATTAACTTCTATTTGACAAAACATTTACCTGTATGCGCATATATTATAGTCATGATTTGTCTACATTACGGTCATGACGTGATGTCATCATGACCATAATTAGACATAATGTATTAATTGGCTGAATAAAGTGTCAAAGTGAAAGTTGTGCCAGCGAACACATTCTGAGAAATGGAGCATTTATAACGAATAAAGTTGTGTTTACATTTATTTCACTTGAATCCCTATATATCAGAAAAGAGAGTGTTAAATAAATTCCACAGAACCGCCTAAACACTAGTAGGAAATGCATTAGAAAATTCCTTAAACCGGGCCTCCAGCATTCTGTTCTTGTGAGTACACAAACAAATTGAGAAGCAAATAAGTTCTAATAAATCAATGTTATTTTGAACGTCGCACCAAAGAGCTAGCCTACTATATTACAATAATAAGTTAAAACATTTCCATTTTAAAGCCGACCAGAAATCTTTACTCACTTGAAAATGTGGCCAAGTGCACAAACAAAGTTAGGGGACATGTTGCGATATTAAGATGAATCACACACTGACCCAGAAAATATATATGTATTTTTTTTTTTTTTTTGATCTTAGCAATATCTGCATTAACTTTAAGATGTACTGCCAACCAGAACAATTCAGCCATTTAAATTGAGATTAGTTGTTGCAACTGCACATTTACATTATATTTTGCTCATAGCCATTCAGTTGTTTGCCCATATATAGTCATGGTGTGATGTCATCATGACCATATTTAGGCATGTCACATGATTTGATAGTCTTGACAAGGCTTTATATTTTATATTTCATAAAATTCGTTTTTCTCAATAAAAAGAACCACACAACTCACTAAATTTAAATAAGATAAAAAAAAAAATACATCCATTCTATTAGTCTTTGAGGGTCAAGACTAAAGAAAACGACACACGTCGGTGCCGCGCAATGGTGTGCGATGCTGATGTGTTTGTGTAGATGCCGTGTACATTTAATCTGTGATCCATCCACAAAAATAAGGCCATATTTACATGCGACAGCGGCACATGACTGCGAAGAATCAGTCACGCAGTGTAATTTATTTAAACAGCATTAGGTTAACGGTGCAATAGGGTTGGTTCCTCCGCGTTAGTTATTTATTTCAGCATGGTTTACTTAGGCCTAATTCAGACTAGGTGGAAAAAACCTGACTCAACTCACCGGGTTTATCCACCTGCCAATCTGAACTAGGTGGCTTATCTCAAGCCGGGCTGTGTTCCTATAGTAACAAGGCCTGGCGCGCCACCGTGTTTAACTTTTCTAAGCCGGACTTTAATCGTTGTGGGGGTCCTGCATTGACTTCGGGTGACGAAATGACCAATCATCATTCAATTACGTACGCTGTGGGCGAGCTTACGTTTCGCGAGCAATGTTTTGAAACACGTTTCCTGGTTATCCAGTTCATTATTATGCAAATTCTCGCCTGGCTAAACCCGCTAGTCAGTATTTCCAGTACATTCTACAGTCTGCACACTCAGCAAAAGTTGAATGTGCACTTTTGTTTGACACAGTCGAACTCTGCAAAAACAGTCATTTAGTGAGGGAACAAGGGAAAACCAAGGAGGTCACAAGGGATAGGGCACACCCCCACCTCAAAAAAAAAAAAAATTGAACAGACAAGAAAAAAGTGACAGAAGAAAAGAAAGGAAAAACAGCATAGTACTCCAAAACCGATCATGATCATAAAGCAAAAATAATTATTATTATTTTTGAAGACTTAATCAGCGCAAAACCTACCCGAATAATAAACAAATGCAATGTATTATGGTGTAGTTGTCAGATACATTGGCTAATAGTGTTATGAATAAATGAATGATATAAATTGGAAAAATAAGTGTGAATAATATTTTATACCTATCTGCCATAGCCGCAATGATCATCGAGTCAATTCCTCCAGAAAATAAAACAGCAACATTAGCCTTTCTCAAAGAATCAGGATGTTGTTTGAACTTTAACCCTGACAGTAAGTGCTCTGTGGCCTCAGTAACCTCATTAGTTGGATTTGCATCTTGTAGAACATCCTTATATGGTATATTATTAACCTTAGTTGCATTGGTTTTTTTCTGTTCATCACTCTCACCTTCACCATTATCTTTTTCAAACATTCTTTCTCCTGCCCTCTTTTGCTCTTTTAAATGCTTAGATGATTGGATGGATTTGGTGTCTTTGGATTGTTCGTTGTCTTGCGCATTTTCTTCTCGTGGGACGTTGTACACTCGTTTACGCACAGCTTCCCCAAATAGATGAATAAACCTCATGACAACTTCCTTAGTGTCTGGATCCGACTGAAGAAGGTCATCTAAAAATCGTAAAATTTGTTGAGCAGGTACATCATTTGAATTTTTTTGTTTACATTTCTTTCTAGATTTCTTCCCTGCAATCGGGATGGATGTGTCTGACGCTTGGGGCGGTTCAGCAAATTGGCTTGGAGAGGTTGACGCGTAGAGAATTTTGGATTCTTTAAAGAAATCAAGTTTCTTTAAATGTTCATTGGTCGGCAAGTCTTTATTTAGATGTGGGATACAACACCGAAGACCTACATCACTAATGGTGATGGAAACGCCGCCATTTAGGTAAGTGTTCTCCTGAGTGACAGGTGATAATTCTGAATCTATTACGTTCACCCAGGTATTTGCCTCACCTGCTTCTGGTGCTACAGGTGTATTTAAGAGCAATGAGGAGTCACTAATGGTCTTCATCTCATTACCACTTCCTTTAACAGTTCTACAAACTAGGTGGTCTGAGGCAGCATCCCCTCGGCTAGTTATGAAATTGATTGATGAAGCACGTTGCCAGGGAAACAGATTTATTTCAAGACGTTCTTCATCTGAGCTGGGCCAATGTTTGCATTGCAGACAGTACATCCCATTGGCTGGTACTTCTGACCAATCCTGATAGGAGAGATAAATAGGTAAATGTCAGAACGCTTTTATTCTATTCTAAGGGACTCTATTGAGCGCAGTCAGTAATCAATTGGATGTAAATTATCTTTACAGTCTACTAATGTCCAATAAAGTCGGATAGTTATGAGAGCCATAAAAACAAAAATTTTACAGAAATTCAGTGTTACAAAAAACCATTTGAATTTACAAGAATCAACCTACTTTTTGCCTGTTATAACAAGGTACTGTAACCAGAAATACCACGATAATGTCCAGTGGGATTTTTAAAATCTAGTATATATAACCACATACATAATTGTACAATTCTGGCCTCAGAACGTTACACTAAAAAAAGAATTGGACATTTCCGCAAAGGAAGTTTTTAAAATGTAGTCTAGTCACTTTTTATACAGTAAAACCCACTCCTTTAGGACAACCCCTTTTAAAAAACATTTTTCAGCAATGAAAGTACTGTATATTTTAACACACAATCAACCACTGTTTAAAGAACACTCAGGCTATTTAGAGAACACATCTGTCGGTCTTGAAAGTGTCCCAATAACAGAGATTCTAGAATTATAAATATTATTGTGATGGTGTAATGGACTGTAAATTGTTCATCAGTATTACCTATATGTTTGTTAGTCACTTTGTAATGCTATTTTTATACACTTTTTACATTACAATAACAACAAAGGAATATTGAATTCAGGAGAGATTTATATTGACAATCTGAATGTTCACAAGTAACAACAGTTCCAACAGCCTTTGTCAGTCAATATTGTGGTTTCTTTATACTTCCTTTAAGTTGCCCATTAGGTGACGCAGAGGATGTCATTAATGTGTGAATGTTTCTGTTACACCGACAGTGCGGTTGACCAAAATGATGACATAAGCAAATATTACCAACAATGTTTGTATTGGTTGGTACCGCCCCATACATTTTCTTGGTAGCCAGGTAACACCTAATGTACTGATTCACAAAAATCCTACTCACAAGTCACGTCCTCAACGATTATACCCGGTTTTAATCTGATACAGTGCAAATGTACAACTAAATCTCTCATGACATAACGTCATAGTAGGGTGTAGGCCTACATATGGTAAACTGTATCGCACATGCTCCGCGAAAGCCACACTGGCATAGCTCATTACAAATATAGCGCAAGGTTCAAGGGAAAAGTTGATCCTTGATGGCTATTAATACAGCAATTTTTCCGAAGTGTTCACACGGCTATTAAAAATATACCATGCCTATTCCTTGCAAATAACAACAAATCAAATATAATCCCCTTCTTCAATGTCAAAACTAAGACTTTGAATTTATGTAATGTTCTGTGCCTTTTTAGAGTAAAATTAGGTGGTAATCTTTAGACACTTTGGTGAGGTTTAAGCCCCATCGGATAGGCCAATACATGCACACTTGTAGGCAATGGCTTGTCAAACCAAAAATACATTCTTTATGCATAAATTGCTAATTCTCTTAAAGAACAGCTCAAAAATGGCGAAAATTGTTTCAGTCCACCACTGACCAGGGTTTTCCCCTGGACCTTCCAGACACAACAATTTTTCAGAGCTCCTGAGTCAGGCACCATTGTACATTATGTATTTCCATCCATATGATTATGAAATAAAATAAATCACATCAAATAAATAAGTGAAAAAAGATGGAGGAGATAATAAAATGTTATCAAAACAAAAACAAAAAAAAAACGTGTGCATAAAAATAAGAAGTGAACTGTGCCGGAATCAAGGCCACTGTTGCCTGGGTGATGTAATTCTAAATTGAGAGAGAAACAACTAAAGGTGTTGGTGTACTTGTATAGAGCATATATAGTATGACCTCCATGCAATTGAAACCGGATGGTCAGTAAATTGAAGAGGCAGCTGAAGAAAGGTTTAGCCCCGTTTCCAGCAAAAATTTTATTTTTTATAGAAAAATCTGATTTTTATATATGTTAGAAAGATTTATAAATAGGGAGATTTCGATTGCACGACGACGGTAAGGACATAGAACGCAATGACGCCACTAAAAGTCATGTGCGCATTCGAGAACGTTGTGGTCGTAACTCGTTGAGTAGATTCTGGAACGCAATTTGGCCAAATCTACATATGCAGAGAATGTAGGACGCCAGGTAGGACAGTCACGCATGAGTGATTCCGTTCTAGCGTCGCGTCATCGCACAAATCGAAAGCTCCCTAGTATAATACAAAATTGCTAGTTGAACTGGATTTGGACTTTTCTTAAACATGAAAAAAATGCAAAATATAAATCAAATTTGTGTCTCACACAAAAAATACACATGGATGAATTTTTTTATGTTTTGCGATAGGTCTATCGAAATATAATAGGCGCCGGAAGCATTAGCCTATTAACACTGCTATTTACCTCGATTTAGGTTCTGTTATCAGACATAAACACAGCTGACATGATATTTTCTGTTGCTAGTATTGACACTTATTGAAACATAATATTTTATTGGAATTATTTCAAACTTTAAAATAATTTTAAAATTATTCTGAATGAGATTTTTACTATAAACCAAACATATCTCAGGACGAGTCGATCGATCGCAGTGTTTGAGATGCGAGGTACAAAAACAATTCCCAATTAGAGAGGGTGCACTTTATTTATTGCTCACGATCATATTGGTGATGTAAACAGTTCAGTAAATCTGATTAATTAATGCTTTTATTTTTTGTGGGATGAATTAAAATATCTTTATCGAGATACAGTAGTTCATGGAATTGGTGGGTGAGTTAAAGAATACCAAAGAATGCGGCAGATTCGCAAAACCATTACCCTGTCTGCCTTGGAAGCTCAACTGTATAAAGGTATACACAAAAAGAAGCCAGCGAGAGCATTCCAGTGGATGTGATCTACAACCTCTGAATTTGCCTACCAGTAGTAACGAAGAAGTCGTTGAGAAAATGGTAACCTCCTATAGTCTCTACTTCTCATTTTTTTTCTTCTTTAGCGTAAAACTAAAATTTATGCCATTATTTTGTTATGGTTTATAATAGAGCAGGCCTCGAATTTTACCGCGGCCACCGCGGCCATTGCTGACGGTGCCCTCCCAGTTGGCCTTGGTGCCCCTGAAAATGAAGCACGAAGATGGCCACTACTTGCCTGCCCTTTCGAAGCCTTTACCTCGGTGCCCTCACGATGCTTAATATAGATTGTTTGACACATAAAATTAAATCTAAGTAAGAACGTGACTCCAAATAGAGAAAGTGAGGCCATATTTACTCAACGTTTCGACTTTATTAAGTCATCATCAGGAATAAAAAATGTTTACAGAGTAATTACCAAAAATGCTACAATATACAAATACAATTAATGAGTCGTAAGGTGATAATAAGCAGCAAATGTGATTGGTCCAGTGGTAAAGGGTGTAGTCATAATTAAATAAACAGTTTTAATTCTCTAGAAGCTCTGAGACCACAATTAAGTGAAGGTTTATGCCGGTGAATAGCAAGCGCTTCTTTAAATAACAAGTGGGACCAATTAGAAGAACTATCAATTATTTTAGTATTAGAATAAATTAAAGATTTAAAGTTTGTCATAGAGTCGTCATCAAGTGTGTTAGGTAAATTATGGAGTCTTAATATGTAATTAAAATTATCACAGGTTTGAACATGATTATGAACTACACTGTTATGTAAAGTAGCATGTTCATGGATTCTGGTAATAAGACATCTATCAGTTTTACCAATGTAATCAAGGTTACATCCAGGACATTTAAAATGGTACACTACAGCACTTCTATACTTATTGGGAGTAATATCTTTAGTCTTTTATCTTTAGTGAAGTAAGAAATTTTCTTGGTCTTCCATAAAGTAATAAATTTCACATCCTTTGTTAGATTCTTTTTAACTCTACTCATCATTCTGCGGAGAAGAATTTCTCCGTGTCTACCAATATACGGTACGTGTACCCATATTTTGTCTATAGTGTCATCATTATCTACATTTCCATGTGTGTTGTTTTTGCGGTTACCGTTGTTTACAAGTTTTCTATTCGAATGGTCATCTTCGTTGAGTAGGATGTTACCGCTGCGCAGGTGGGCGTGGTTTAACGAAGAACGACCTGTCGAATACGGGCTTTGTAGCTAACTTTGGGCGATCTTACGTCATTGCAGCTTTCGCGGCCAGTTTAGAGTTGTGACTTCCTCTCCGATGACGACGGACTGAGCAACAACACAAAGATATCGAACTTCTTGAAATTTGACTGTTTTGTACGATCGCTGACCGCCGCAGTATATTCCAACATTGAATCGACAATTAATAGTTAATACTCTAAACAAAGTCATATTACCATTGACAACTATGGCTTGGCTAGGCCTAGCTTGGCTTGGTCTAGTCTAGGCCTAGCTTGCCTAGCCTGGCTACGACAAATTAAGGCACTCGCGAGAAATTAGTACTGAGGCTAAATCAAATTTTGACTTGGGTGCCCTTTTATACTTGAAATTTTGGCCTTGGTACCTTTCCATGCATTTTTTCTGAAATTTTTTTTTTTTTAGTAAAATTTTGTCGGGAATGGGGCTTTAACCAATTCCTATGCATCCGGTTTAGATAATGATTGATGGTGTAATAATACTGTGATATTTTAACATCAACCTTTATTAGTCTGAAACTAGATAAGAAAGGGATTTACCCCTTCTGATACTAATAACAATTACACCACCTTCATTAAACATATTTATAATAATATTTACTAACGAAGCCTAAATCTTATGTCTGCTCAGATGAATTTCTCCATTAACCTAATTTGGTTTTACGTCATTCACATTCGGACGAGTACGTCAGCCAATATTTTCTGTTTATTTATCTGAAGCTCAGTAGCTTTTAATTATTACACAAAAGTGCTATGAATATATCATGCCAAATGAACAAACCTAAAATTAGGCCTAAGAAATATCAGAGGCATACTGTACCTCATCAGGCATATGGACATTTGGGGGAGGGGGGAAGGTGTGAAGGAGGCATGAAGTTTAAGTGGGAGTTGA